TTTAATCATATATTTAATCTAACTTTAACAATATTACTATAAACAAGATAATCAAAATCAAATACAATTGAGTAAGCTAACATAACTCCAATGCACAACTGTATCTCATTCTCTAGTTATGTTTAACCATTACTGAGTTCTATTAGAATATTGAGACATATTTTTTTTATTTATTCATAGAATATTATATAAGTTTACAAATTAATATAACTTATTATTAATATAATCATTTGGATAATAAGACTAATAAAAATGACTAAAGGAGAGTTTAAGAAAACTCTTTCCATTGATCCTTTGTCCACACACAAAAAAGATGTTCACAAGAAATTTTTTATTTTTTGCTAATAAAGTCTTAATATTATCCCTAAACCAACTTAAAGTCTTACTTCAAGAAATACTCACAAATCTCTTTACTTACTTATATTCATTTTTAAATAAAAATTTGGTTTCCTGTAACCTAGAAAAGTCAAGAAACATCTTCTCTACCAATGGCAAGAAAGTTCTACAAGAAAGAAAAACTAATAGTGTAGCACTTGAAACCTTTTATATTAAAGCATTCTATAAAGGTTTCTAGTAGTGTGAGGTGGTAAATATCAAGCTATATCTTATGATGCCAGCCCACTGTATCTTTTCTCTTATAGTTATTCAAAAAAATTTTTGGTTTTTTTGGGAAATTTTGCCTACCTCACTTTGACCCTAAATTTTAGATAATACAATCCATTGCAAAATATGATTGGTGGTCATGAAACACATTAGTAGCTGAATGTAAACAAGTATCTACTAATTACTTTATATGTTTTAATAACATCATTGATAAAAGAAAAAGAATCAATTGGTGTAAAATTCTCCACTCCTCAAAATAAAGAGTAACTGAAGCAAAGAAATCAGAAGGCCATTAGAATGAGTACTAAATTTTCTAGGTAGTGAAAAGATAATTATTTGTTTAAGCTAAGATCTTTAACTTCTTATTATTCTGGTTAGGCAAAATATATAAAGGAGATTGTTTTCTTATTCTGGTCAGGCAATAAAACTGAAAAGCAGAAGACTGTAAGTCACTACTCTTCTCTAGGATAGAAAATGTATTTTTCCAGACATTGTATAATGATATTATAATAACAAGAATTTCCACAACTCTGCAAGACCTTTATACTATTGTTAGGCTAAAAGCTATTAATAAATTTGACTTTTTGGGCAATAGAAGATGCTTATTATTAAAATTAACTTAACTAGATGTGACTGCTAAAAGCTTTCAATAGTTACATAATATGATTGAAAGTTTATATAAGAACTTGATTTTCATTATAAATTGTTACTTGATGTGGATAGTTACAAAATTAATATTGAAAGAAAGGAAGCAATAAACAAAATACTGAATCTGAGTAGACAACAAGTATCTCAGATAGTTGCAAAATAATAATTAAAATCATAATGGATAAGATTCTCAGATAGTCAGGAAGAAGAAGAATATCTCAAAAGATTTATTTTTAATAAGATAAGATTTTTAGTAAAGGTTCTTTTAAAAATATATATACTTTTATTTTCTTTCTTTCTATTCTCTCTATACTGTATATGCACTATTGTACATTTTTAGATATTTCTCTTTTATTTTTTATTTCCTTTATTGTAGTTTCTTAAAATTGGTTTCTTGAAGAATAATAGGCAGTGACAATCTGCTGGCAATTATGGGTAAATTAGGAGAGTTTTTACTCAAAACTTGTTCCAGAGTAAAATATTGTTTTCAAAATTGCACTTAGATATTTAAGCTCATTTGAGAATTGAAAGCTGTTAACAAATAATTCAGTATAATATTTAGTTTGGCCATAATATAACTTCAATATAACTCTATTAGTTTTCTTAAAGATTAATAAATATACTATACTGACCTGACTACAGGTTTTTTAAAAAAAATAATAATAATAAAACTAATAACAAAAATATATTTATTATATCTCTAATATCTACTATTTTAAATATTTTAAATTTCTATTATTCAAGAAATCTGAGAAATCTAAGAAATTGATATTATTATAGATCTCAATACAATATGCATAGATTACAATTGCAGTTTCTTTTTCCCTTTACACTTCTTTGGAAGTGGGAGAGCTATATGAAAGAGTTAGATAGAAATTGAATAGCAAAAAAACACATACTAATAATATAATTGTTTCATCCTTTCCATAAATACATTCTTGTCTTTAATACAGATTATGAATAATAAGGAATATTATATATATAAATATAATTTACCGCCAGGTAGAAGACGACCTCCACCCATTCCTGTGTGGCACCAACAGTGAGAAACTAAAAGGGAAATATAGGACCTTCCTAACAGAAGAATGCGTGGCACGGGCCAACAATAATAAACAAACAGAACCGATAGGAAACAAGTGGAATCGCACTCAGATTGGATCGACCGACGGAAAAAAGATGGCAACTAAATGTCGGGTCCAGTGGCAGGACATCATAAGAGGAGTAGTCACCCACAAGATGATAGAGAAGGCCGCGGAAGTCACTCAAAACATCTCAACAGCGAAACAAGCAATCAGAGCAGCGACAGAAAGATTCTGGCAAGAGAAACAGAAAATATGGAGGCTCCGCTGCGACATCGTGAATGCCTGGGAAATGGATGAGGGCATCACAAGGAACATGAAAAGGAACAAGGGAAAAGCCAGAAGAAAAGAACAAGGCACACAACCATCCAAGGAAGAAAAATACATCAAACAGTCATTCAACACGCTATACATCCACCTAACGAATTCAAGCATGACTAAGCTTCTGAATAACAATTTTTCTTATCACACCTTGTTCACCTTAAATATTAGTGTTAGTGGAGTCATGACACGCTAACATCCACTACAGTGGACTGTAGCTAGTCACAGGGTTTACAGGTATATGTAATACTGAGTCAATAGTTTTTTACCGTCATAAATGTATTTTCTCGCAATTCAATTTGTGTATATAAGGGAATATTAATGAATAAATAAAAGCTACTTGGCATGACTACGCCAGTATTTAAAAAAAAAAAAAAAATTATCTTGTATTTAAATTTTTTTTTGCAATTTTATTGTAGATTATTATATTGAAACCTTGTTCAACTATTTGGATTTCATAGTGGATCCAGATTGTATGGCAATTGAAGTATTTTCAATGTCTCAATGTGTGGTCTGTTCTATTAACTTCTATTATTACTACTATATTTTAACCTTGACTATTAATGAGGTTGAACCAGGTTTGTCTTTTTAAACTGTTTATGAGCTCTTTAATGTTTTGTATTATAATTTTCCATAGATTTTGAATGTGTTGTTTAGTGTTGTGCTGTATATTACATTCTATTTGCATTGGATTATGTCTGATTGATCTATTATTTGATTAATGTTCATGTTATTTGAATTTGTAATTGGGATATTGTTAGTTGTAAAGTAACTATTATTATCTTTGATTGTTGTGCCTGTAGTTTGTATTGTTAATTAATAATATAAGAATGTGTTTAAATTATTGGTCCAGTTTATTAAGTTGTTTTTTCTAGTTTACTAGTGCTATTTGAACTACATATTATGCTTATGTATTGAGGTTTATATATTGTTTGAGATAAGAATATTGATTGCATAGAGAATGTGCACATATTTTGATTCATTTTGTTAATTGAATTATAGAGTTCTTGTTGTCTTTGTTGAATGTTAAATGTTGATCTAGTAGATGAGTCTAAATTTGTTGAATTGTGACTATCAGTTTTGGTTTACTTGTTGTATATCTTCTTTTATTGTATCCTCATTGTTTTTCTCATATGATTCAAGTTATATAATTCTCTTGTCAAGTTTCTCTATTGATAATTCAATTTCTTTGATGTCTTTCTATATTTGTTGTAGCATGTTAAAGATTATATCAAGGGGATCCCATTCCTAACCATTTTGTTATTTGGTTCTAGGATTAGTTGCTATTGCTACTATATAGAAACCTGGTCTAGATTTCTGTATTTGTATTTCTCTACTTATTATATTTCTGATTCCTTGGATGCCAATTGGTTTAAACTTTTGATAGAGTTTACCAGATTTTAATGCCTGGTCTTTATTGTATAATGTCTATTGTTCTTTTTTTTGCTTAATGAAATATTGTACCAAAAGATGATTACTTTAATTACAGATGAAACAAAGTTTGATTTTTATCAGTTTGACTATAATAGTAGTCACTTCTATGATAAATTCTTGTCCTAAAGTTTCTGTGAGTTTGTTTTCAAATTTGAAAAATATGACTGTAAATTGTTTTTTAATATATTTGATTCTACAAGAAATATAATATAACTTTGCTTGAAGTTGTTGACATATATTCTTTAGATAGAAGGCATTGGTATTTGGTGGGAGATTAGTGAGTTTTGTTGCATGCTGGAATCTCTCTGTTATTTATTATTTGTTTTATTATGTATCTATTATTCTATTGTGTTTCACTTTATTAATATATTATATTGTTGAATAAGTTGTTCCTTGACTTTCTATTCTGAAATATAATTTTTTCATTTGTTAGATTTGACTTGTGTGCATTGATATGCTGGTAATTTGTCTATTTCTAGTAAAAGTTTGTTGTACTTCTATGAATTTTGTAGTTAGGGGAATGTCACATATTCTGATACTGTTTTCTTTTTTTGATTCAGTTAGCATAATTATCATATATATCAATCTTTTCTGATCAGTTTTTGATAAGATTAAGTTACATGCCTCCTTTGTAGCCGTTCCTTTCCAAATAAAGCCGAGATATGATTAATACCCTTTTTTTTTCTTGCAAATGTTAAAAAGACTTTTCAGGTTTTCTAGTGCTTTGGCTAAATATGTGATCTTTTGGTTAATAGTAGTGCTGGTAATGTTGCTTGCTATGATTCTTATTTAGAATCTTTTTTTGCCATATCTTGTTGTCCTGTCAAATAGTAATCTTGATCTTGGATAGTCTTTTCTTTGATTTCTTTAGACTTATCATATTTTTGATGTCTTTCTTATTTAATTTTGATTTGATTATTTTTCTTCTTTGACAAATATTTTGACATCAGAGTTGTCGATTCTTGCTGATATGGGAATGTTTTGTTGAGTATCTTGTATTTTCTCTCTGCATGCTTTCTTGAGGTGTAATCTATTTTCAGAAGTGATAGTTTCTTCTAACTGGTCACTCTATATATTGTATATAGAATTGAGTTGTTTGCATCCTTTTTACTAAGGTTTTGAGGGTCTTAAATAGTTGAATTTGGGTTGTTAGATTGTTTGTTAATTTGTAGAAAGGTTTTGAATAGTTTTATTAGTTTTTTAAGTTCTTTATTTTTGTTTAGAGTTGTTGTCATTTTACTGTTTGTATTGATTTCTTTTTAGAGATTTTTTGTATTAACTCTTGCCAAAAGGTTTTCATTATAGTTGGGTCTTATACTGGTTTTGGAACTATAAAGGGTTTTATGAAACTCATCTCTTTTGTGCACTTTTTGTTTCTTGGAAAAAATTGCTTAAAAAGAAAATTTTTAAGAATTTTAAAATCTGTAATAAAGAGTTTTTTTTTTTGTTTGTTAAAAATAATATTATTTCTCTTTATAAATTTAAGTTTTCTTTAATTTAATCTACAATTTGATTATTCTAATTTTTATATTTATTAATCAAAAAACCAATAATACAAATATCAAAACTTTATAAGATATATAGTTATAAACTCAATTATTTAAAATTTAGCTCAAAAAATAATATTATACTTTGTCATAAGTTTGTATATTGGTTTTAACTTGTGAAACAATCAACAAGTCCTTATTTTTTTAATTGTTAAATTGTCAAAATTGAATTATTTAAGAAAAAAAAGTTCAAAAGTATATAAATACATTAAATAAATAAAATAATTTATTGTCTTTTAAAAGATTTATTATGTTTTATTATTTTTCAAAAAATATTTTAATTACAATATCTTTTTCCTTTTAATTATTTGAAAAAACTTATTTATTCTTAATTTTGAAGTCTTTTTTTATTAAATAGAAAATTTATTATTATATATATATATATTTTTAATTTTTTTTTTTTAACTTGGCAAAGCCCTACTATTGAGTTTTTATTTATTCATTAATATAGGCTGCAAATTTAATTACGAATCTATACATTTATAACTGAAAAAAAACACTATGACTTAGTGTTCTATTCTAGAAACCTTGTGTCTTGCTACAGTTCAAATTAATGGATACTAGCATATTAAGACTCTGCTAGCACTAATATTGATTGAAAAGAAAAAGAAAAAAAAGTAGCTGTTGTTTAGGGTATTCTCTGTTATGATGTTGGTTAGTTTTATATATAGTTTCCCAAATCTATATTTAAGATATTTCCACAGATTGATTTGGGTTTATTTAGGCTCTGAGTCTGACTCAAAGGATTTGATGGCCTGTGTTGTTGATGAGTCTGAACTCTGTAATGTAATCTATTAATTGGATGTGTTACACTTGGCCTGTCTCTTTTTGCGCTTGAGTTTTTTTTTCATGTTTTAACTTTTTTTCCAGTCAATTGTAATATCATATTTGAGTTTTCATACTTCTTGCTTAGCCTACCAGAATTTGTATATTGCTTCTCTAATTGCATCTAGTGTTCTAGTTCTTTTTTTGTTATAGATTCTATTACTTAAATTATGCTATATGTTATGACTCCCCTAATAATATCCTTCTATTTAACCTGATATCATGCTTTAATGTTTTCATTATACTCCTATGTTATTGATATTTTTTTCCATTTGTTTTAAATTGATTCTATCTATTTACCTTCAGCTTATGCTGTACTTTTTTCTATTAGGGCCTGGATAAAGTTTTCCTGAAGTCTTATTTATATTGTATTAAATTGAAAAAGATGATTATTTGTTTCTTTGTGCTGTTTGCAAATTTTACATTTGTCATTTGGATAGATATTAAAATATCTTTCATTTAGTTTGTCTATGATAGATAGTTCTACCATCCATATTTTAATTCGAAAGAAGCAGTCTAAGTAATCTCTCATGTTGATTATTGTTACTATGATTTTGGTTAGCATTAGAAGCTTGAGTGTCAGGGTCCAGTGAAATTCTCTAATTTTTTTTGGTTCAGTTAATTCTGATTCCTGTGTGGTGTTTGTCATTTACTTGTCCACTTGTTCTTGAGAATCTGTCTTGTTAGAAGCTTTATTGCGATATTATATTGTTTTTTATTCTATCTAGTAGATATATTTATTGTTGTGGCTATATATGTATTGACTGTTATAGTATACTTGAGTTTGTCTGTGATGCTTGTAGATACCAGCCAGTCTGCCTTTTCATTGCCTGAAATGCCTGAGTAGCTTTTACTTTTATTTAGTTTACTATCAGTCTTTTGGTTTGAATAAGGTCTATAATAGTACTGCTGAGAATTTGGTTTGGCTGATTTGTTTTCCTTTGATGTCTCTTCTGGGTTGGAGGCTCTCTTGGCATATTGATTGCTGTCTAGTTGTCTTTGAGAATGTGATAGTTTTGTTTGAGCTGATGGTACTTGCTGCTGTCAGGATGGCTATTAATTCTGCTCTTGTAGATGAGAGGGTATTTTCAACCTATCCAATAATCTCCAAATCAAATAGATAGATAGGACAACTATAGAGTAAGTTGAGAGAAAATACCTCAGTCATGATATACGAAAGTTGATAATTCAAGAATAGTAGAGTTTATACAAACACGTTTAAAGAGGCTTTGAATAATTTAGTTTAATAAAAAGATTTATTGGAGATATATAAGGTTAAAAATAAGAGAATTCAGTAGGTAAAAACCTTAGGTCAACTACTTTAGACAGTTGGCCTTTATATATATAATTGAATATTAATTATTTGATGACTAAAGTAAACAAAGTGATCAAATCTGCTAGATTTGCCAAATTAGACCAATATACCAGATCTACTCACTTGGATAACCTGCTAGCTAAATATAACTAAAATATGAAAATTAAATAATAAAAAATAATAAGTACTATATCAATCACTACTTTGCTCTAATAATTGAATCTATTTTATGAACCAATAAGACACACCTTGCATCACATGTGTTACATGATCTAAAAATAGAGCTAAAATAATATGATAGACAAGAACTATAGATAATAATCAAAGGAAAATATAATTAATAATTAAGACTAATAGTATTATTTGTTTCTGCTTGAAATTTTACTACTTGTTTTTCTTCTTTCATGGTTATAATCCAGTCTAGTCCCATTCTACTTTTTTCTGAATATCTAGTGAAAAAGCCTTCAGTATGTATCTTTAGGTTATTGAGTTTACTTAGTTCTTTTGCTATGGCTGAAAGCTAATCTGTAAGGTTTTGATGTCTAATTAGTTTACTGTGTATTATATGTATCATTTCTAAAAGTAGATCTATGTGAATCTGTAGTGTCATTCTAGAAATTGTTGATATTGTTTTTCTTTCTTACAATGCTTTCTTAATTTCTTTAGAAGTGAAGCATAATCTATTTAATATGCATTGTTGTCCTATTAGTTGGTCTTGATTAGGGCTAGTCATTTGGAGCTTTTTTTTACTATTATATTGACTGTTTTTGCTCTAATCAGCTCTCAATACATTGACCTTGTTCTTTGTATTAATTCCTTAGTTATTGGTTATTTCTTTGGCATACTTTACACTTGAAAAGAGGTAATATTAATATAAGTGATATTATATGATTAGCTATTATCCTATTCAAGTTTATCATTCTCCTTTTCCTGTATATTATAATTTTATCATCTGATTCTGTAACCATTTACTTAATAGATATTTGTAACTGAGATGGAAGCACTGGAGCATTGTTACAGAAATTGTTGTTTGTATTATTGGAAAGGAGGTTTGCTATATTTTTATATGAATTCAAGTTTAGGTCTATGTATATAATTTGTTATAGGTCTTAAAACCATCTTGGGATTCTTCACTGTCTGTCTTTGTTTGTTCTAAGTTATTGCCATATAAGGGGTCTTGATAGGTTATCATTCATAAGCTGTTTCTTGAAAAGAATACTTCTTTTTCTTAGGGCTGATTTGTTTTGATTATACCATTCCTCTAAAATAATATATTTAATAGCTGTCTTTCCTCCCTGATGAGTGATGCATAATGTTATGCAGTCTGTTGTCTCAAATGTAATACCCTGTACCTTGAGCATGTTAAGAATATTATTTATGAGGTTCTGTTATTTTTTTTCCAAAAGGAGTATTTGTCTTTTAAGATGGATGTACTTGACCAGTACTGTTTTGAAGTTATTGTAGTCTAATCCATGCTGTTTTGCTACATGTATCAGATCTATTGATTCTTTTGGATCAGTTGTTTCTATGTAGCAAGACCTGTCATCTCATATGTTTAAGAGTCTATATCCAAAGTCTGCATGAACAATGGTATCAGGAGCTGTTTTGGATAGATTGATTTTATGTTTAAAGATTTTGACTATTTGCTATACAGTCAGTTACATTCTTATTCAAATAGAGCCATGTTATTGAGGAGATACTCGACTGCTGGATATAAGAAATAGTTTATTATATAGTGTGCTTGCTTGTCTATGATTTTCTTTCATTTAATAAAATTGATTGTATTATTAATTTTTTTCTGGATAAGCTATTTTTGGTGTTGTTTTTTTCTATCTTCCGAGATCCAAACTCTTAAAATATATGCTGTTTCATTTTTTCTTAAAGGTTGACCTTGGTTCTAGCCATTGTAACTCCTTATATCCAGTCTTCTTGCTTGTATTGATGCATATCAATAATGAATTGTCTCCATTAAATTGTATATCATTGATATGAAGGAACTCTAATGCTGTGTTGAAAATACTTTGTATATTAGATTTGTTGAAGTATATCAGGTTGTATTATCCATATACAGTATACTGTTGCTAAGACACTTTGTGATCTAATGTGTTGGAGTGTCCTGAAATTGTTATCTATTGTGAAGTTGGCACTTCATATTACCTTTATTTTATATTCCATCTTTTTGTCTTCTATTTTCTGTATTAAAGAATCATAAAAGATTCTCCATAATAGTGAGGATATAGTATCTCCTTGGTCAATCTTATCCTGGATTTTCTATTCCTCTGTGTATCCGTGTGCTGTGATGATTCAATTAAGTTTGTCTATTAGGATATTCTTCATTATATTTATGATTTCTTCTGAAAGCTTAATACATCTTAATTTTAGTATTATTATATCTTAGTTTATCAAATCATATTA